TCTTTCCAACCCTGTCAACCTTTTTCCATAAAACCCCCTGTCCTTGATATGCTGACTGTCAGCGCTCCCCTGTCTTCTACACCAGAATAACACAGTGTGTAACACAGTGTGTACAGTTCAATTGAGCTCTCAGTTACTTCCTGTGGTAGAAAGATTTTTAAAGGACAGTTTATTCTTCAACATGAAAAGACACTGACACTTAGAAAAATATTGTTTCTAAAGGACGATCTGTGTCAACCCCGCTTTAGTGACTGGTGTGCTTCATCCCCACCCCCATCCTCCTCATTTTCCTTTTTAAATTCAGCATTTGTAAAGACAAAGACTAGAATCTCCAGGCATATTTTAAGCAATACTGGCACAGCTTAGCAGAACCCCTCAAAAGTTTAAACTGCTCAGATATATACACGAAGCAGTTTGTTGATCTAAACAAAAAGCTTTAAGGGGATCAGTTTCATCAAACTTCCAGTGAAAAATTAAAATCATCTACTCTGGCTTACAAGAAATGTCCAAAACTGCAAAATGGAGTCATTTAAAGAGTTGTTAATTCTGTGAACCCAGAAAAAGCACGCAAGTATTCACAGTCTGAATTAGGCAAAAGAGCTGGACTTTTCTTTCAATATTAATTGGCTATCTTTTTCTTCATCATTGTTTTATTCCGTTTCCACTAATTAAGCATTTTATTATAGCTAATTAGCCTAAAAAAAAAAAAAGGAAATATATTCTGAAAAGTTTTCTGTCAGATAACATAAGTTCCAGGCAAATACTGATTTAATACTGCAGCTGAAGAATTGAAGCAGCAAGCCTCTTTTTCCCAAGCCCAGATATGAACAGCTATCGAGACAACTGCTAACACTTCTGGAACTGTTAGAAATAGATCTTTTGTTTACATTTGTTTTCTATTTTACCTGTGGATTAAAGCAGTCCTATTGGTTCAGCATATTCAAGAGAGTCATATTCTTCTGTAATAATGTATTTTTATATAAGCATAATCTTTAATTAACTTCTAGTTTATTAGAAGAGGATCCACATATCTGCTATTTTGATCCTATTAACTTCCATTATAAAACCTGATGGAAATGAAGATATATTCCCTTGTAAGCTAATTATCCTCATATAACTTTTTACACAAACTGCTTACAAACTATTTCAGAGATTTCAGTCATACGAGCTGTCAAAGAAAAATAGCAACAAACATCAAGCTAAGACTAAACAAGAAGAGTATTTTGTCAGTGGGTTTCACAGAAAAAAGCACATAAATGAGGGAACGTCCGAATCCTGGAATCACCCTTTCTTCCTCCTCTTCTGGCTCCTTTTTAAAAATGATTTCTCTCCTTTTTTTTTTTTTTTTCAGGAATGAGTCTTTATTCTGCTTCTAGTTTCTTCTTGAAACCCACCAACCATCTCAGAGCACAGGAGAATGACCAACTGTACCCCTTACCTCTGGGCAAGAGTTGAGTATTCTCATTCACTCTGTGAAGACAGCTCAGACTAGTCAACAGTTAAGGGGTTAGAAATAAATAGTTGCTTTTTAATAACTGTGATCTATCAGATATGAAACTCCAAAGACTTAGACTAATATACAAGAGGTGAAACAAGGAAATGTTTCACAGGCTGTTATACCAGGAACCTGACTGTTCCCAAGTAACTCTGTCACTGTCCCCTAATGAGAGAGCGACTTAAAGGTTTTTAATTAAAATCTGACCTTTGAAAATATATGGGAAGGAATCTGCCATTTAAAATCCCATTTTAAAGAGACTATTCCCCAGAGAAAGGTGTTTCACATTGTAAGTGGAATTTCCTTGAAAATTTTCTTGCACTCATCTGGTTAATTAACCAGGATATAATGACAACAGTGTGTTTTTAAGGGTCAACAACTATTCCCAGGTTAATCCATGGATTTTTCAAACAATATTTGAAGAGCTCTGAATTTCGCAGTGATGAGCAATTCTGGCTCACACTTCCAACAGTAGGCCACCGTTCCTTTTTGGGTGACAATGACCTATCATCAGGTGATTCACGTTTTCATACAACTTCTCTGCCTGAATATGAAAATACTTCTGCATGGAAAATTCAGGTATCTAAAACTCCAAAATGGTCTATATGTCTCAACAGCACTTCTACAGGGACTGCTGGCTCTACTTTTATACCACAATGAAGCATCAACAGCGAAGATGCAGATTTGTAAT